ACACATCAACAACCCAACCAACCAATCAGCGATAGGGTGTCCAAACATAGGTCCCGCAGAAAATGCCCTCATGATCAGGAAAAGTGCAAACACAACATTAGTTCAGTGCAAGGCAAGGAGGAAAAATAACGATGATGATGATGATGATGTTGGTGGTAATGATGATGATGATGATGGTGATGCCAATGATGATGACCACAACGACGATGATGAGGAAGATGATAATGAGGATGTTGGTAATGATGATGATGATGGGGATGTTAATGGCAATGATGATGATGATGATGACGACGACGACGACGATGATGATGATGGTAATGATAATGATGACGATAATTAAAGGGGGAATTAGCCCCAATTGTCCACACCCTCATCTGCGTGGGGACACAATGGCGTGGCGGGTCTGATGTTATGTGCCCCGGTAAGTTTGTTGTTGTGATGATGACGGTGGTGATGATGACGATTTGTTGTTGTTTTTGATGATGGTGATGATGATGGTGGGAATGTTCATTCGTTTAATTTACTTATATGTACATTCATTCATTCATTCATCATTTATTCGTTTACTCTTTCATTCATCTATTCATTCATATATACATACAAACAAACATACATACATACATACATACAAACATACATACATACATACATACATACATACAAACATACATACATACACTAAATGTAAATTATTTTCTTCACCATCTCATCCACTAATTCCTATTACATCTTATTTACAATCAAAAACATCAACAACGTCTTCATTATTATCATCACAACAGCTACGTCATCTTCATCGTTATCAGGATTATTATTCATCATAATCATCACCGCAACTGCATCATCATCATCATTACATCATAACTCTAATAACAACCACAACAACATCATCGTCAGGATCATCATCATCATCATCATTACCATACTTTTCAAAAACACTATAATCGTCATCATCATCGTCAGGATCATCATCATCATCCTCGTCATCATCATCAACACAACCAACGGCCGGACATATCAACGATGTGTTTCAAGCATTTGGAATGTCACCAGGTTCATGATGACGATGATGAAGATGATGATGACGATGAAGATGATGATGAAGATGATGATGACGATGATATCGTGAATAATATACATTTTGTCTATAATTAAAATTCAATTATTTATTATTATTACCATAATTATAAATTATGAATCATTATTCGAAGAGTTCTCAGTTTTAGTAGCTCTGTTGACGGCAACAGTTATTGGGATGTTGGTCCTGTCAGCCGGCCTCTACATTATGAGAAGGTATGTTTGTATGTTTGTTTGTGTTTGTATGTGTGTTTGTTTATGTTTGTGTGTGTGTTTGTTTGTGTGTGTGAGTGAGTGTGTGTGTGTGTGTGTGTGTGTGTGTGTGTGTGTGTGGGTGTGTGTGTGTGTAATCTCTGTATATTTCTATAAGAATGGATGTATGAAAAGATATTTGCTAGCGAATAAGAGTGACTAAGATGATGAGTTCTAGGAACGTTAAATGAAATTCGTATAAAAATGTTTTGGCATAAATGTAAAATATGAATATTTCGTGCTGAAACCCCATATATATAGAAGCACAATAATATAAGAATGCCAAAATAACAGAGTTGTATAAGGCATTCAATATAAAATTAGAAAACTTAGCCCTTAAACGATAAATTAAACCTAAATTCTTGGTAAGTTTTTTTTATATATGTTCAAGTTACGATAAATTACTCGAAATAATAAAACCAAGAAATTTATTTGAGTGAACCGCCTGTCAATGCTATTGTCATTCAGTGAAATCTTAACATCCAAGATACCAGTACGGACCATGGGTGCAAATATAATGGGACGAGTTTTACTAAAGTTGATTCTCAAATTGTTTGATTATTTGAAAGATTGCTTAATATTCGAATGAGATAATCATAAAGTAGAGTCGTCAGCGAGAAAAAAATTAATTTTAAGATTTATATGAGTTAACAAAGTCATTAATAAAAATATTAAAAAGTAAAGGATGTATTAATGTATGTATGTATGTATGTATGTATGTATGTATGTATGAATGTATGTATGTATGTATGTATGTATGTATGTATGTATGTATGTATGTATGTATGTATGTATGTATGTATGTATGTATGTATGTATGTATGTATGTATGTATGTATGTATGTATGTATGTATGTATGTATGTATGTATGTATGCATCATCCACAAATATACAGGTATACACACACATAGTCAAACACC